CAGTTGGCATCAGGATGACAGGGAATGATTGCTCCCTATGCTTGAGCAAATAACAGCCTAAAAACATGGATACAGTATCAACAGTTGGTCTCATAGCACAAGTGTGGTCTGTACATTAAGTGTCTGACTTTGAGGGGTCACTGACAGCTTGAAAAGGAAACATGTAGCATTAACCATTATGGTTTGTGGGTTAGGGCTCTTGTTCAATCTTCTGGTGCTACGTGAGCTTCTTTGAATCTAATGCTCTTTAAAAATGTAATGGTACGTGGTATGTCTTCATGTTTGAGTTTACAATACACTTTGAGGTAAACCATAAAATGTGACTGCTCTTTTTTGTTTTTTCTCTCTGTGTGCCTGCATCTCACAGTGAGTACACATTTGGAAACCTTCAGAACAGAAGATCTACCCTGTCTTTCTAATTCCCTATTTGCTCTACTAACTTAAAATGGGACAATGCTCATGAACATTTTTAGTGTAAGATACATAAATGCTGTTATCCTAAAATTTTTCATTTATGTGGATTTCTCAGACACATTCAGGCTAAGCAAATTAACCTGGGTGAAGAAACAAGGCATTGGTACAATGTCATATGGCTGAAGTTTGTGAAGGTTGATGGTCTCCCACCAAGCTTGCTTTTGAACCTCCAGCACCTGGCACCTGCTTTATATCTATTTGCTGATGAATAACAAATCGGTGCTTTCAGTCCTTCTGAAGAAAAATCTTGTAGTTATTCTAAAGGTAGCTACAACCTGGGGAGGCTCTTATGGTCTTGGAGCAGAGGCTATGTTGGGATTGGTGAAGCATGGCTGAAGCTATTGAATTAGTTCTTGTCTCAGTGCATGCTGAGCTCATGAGGGATGTTGGGCCAGGTAGTAGAGTTTTGTTTGCACAGCCACGAAATGGAAGTGAGAGCTCTGGAGAGAGTTCTTGCCTGATTTTTCTCTACGACTATCCTGGGACCAGCAAATGCTGACTTCTTAGAATCAAATAAATATTGTCTTCAGTGCAAGACTATTTTGATTTTTGTGGCTTTCAAACCCAGATATAAACCAACAATCTCACACAGGAAAAGTAGCATATAAAATGAGAGAACCCACAGTAATTACATAAAAGGTTGTTTTTCTGTGTATCTACTGTCTAACACACAGTATATCCTGAAAATAATCTATGTATAAGTGATTTCTAGTCCTGCTGTAGATGTAGTCACTCTCACTTGGTCATTACAGACTGGTAATCAATCATGGAGTTCCAACTCAGAGACCGTGCCCTTAGCAATGACCAAAAAGGACAGGCTGAAAGAAATCAGGATGCTGAGTGTCCTCTCAGAAGGTGTGCTCTGAGCTTAGGAGCAAGATCTGTCTTTCTGAGAACTGACAGTGCCCTGTCTAGTGTAATGCTCTGGCCCAGCTTTCTTTGGACATGTCCTGCCTTCTTTGTCATCTATGGATAAGGTAGAAAATAAGCCAGTATCCAAAAGTGACCTAGGAAAAATAATATAGAAATAAGTCTGCTAGGAATCTCATGGAACCCTTGAGATTGTGGACAGTGAAAGGTAGAAGAACAGAATCTCAGGCAAGAACAAGACTGAAGCTTCTGGCTGAGCCCAACAGTCCCTGGCTCCAAGAGGATGTACTTCTAGGAGAGGAGAGCATGCTACATTCCTTGCACCTAAATAGATCGGGCTGTCATTGGCACTAATACTCTGTCCAGGAATCCTATGCTAGTGTTTTCCAAAGGACTAGAGATCAGTGTGCTAAGAAGTTACCTGAATTTCCATTTTTATTGCTACATTATTCATAATAGTCTAGTGTCAACTTGTATCTATCAATGATTTAATAAAGACAATGATATGTATGTTTTAGTTGATATATATATATATATATATATATATATATATATATATTTCAGCCAAACTACATTAAAAAAGAGATCTTGTCATTTGCAACAGCCTGGATATACCAGGGGGCTATTATGTGAAGCACAAATAGCCAAGCAAAGAAGAACAATATAAGTTGTTACTTACGTGGGGAATTGAAAACCATTGTAGTTGTAGACATAGAGTACAATAGTAGTTGTCACAGGCTAGGGATTTAGGAGCATTTGGAGATGTTGCTCAGAGGGTGCAAAGTTTTAGCGAGACAAGAGAAATAAATTTTTGATATCTATTTGTACATCACACTGATCATACTTAGTAGTGTGTATACATCACACTGATCTTACTTAGTAGTGCATATTTCAGAATTGCTAAGTGCAAATTTCAGATGCTCTGAGTATAAAAAATCATAATTATTAAACTATTGGTTCTGTGGATCAGCCTTAATCATTCCAAATTTTATATATATATATATATATATATATATATATATATATATATACCATAACAACACTTAGAACACCATAAATATCTTCAAGAAAAGAATTTTGAAATAATATTTAAATATCATTTGATTGAGTAAATCCTGGCATGGGAAAAATAGTATTTGGTGAAATGAATGGGAATTTATATGTATTCATTTATCACTGTGCTTTAGAGGATATACCAGCGACTGTAGATACGTTATATAAAACTCCAGTGTGGGAGATACCTATTTCTAACTACATGTGTAGATAAAAGAAGATGAGAAACCTTAGATAGTATGTCAAGTGGAATGAAGCTAACAGTTCGCATCTATGTCAAAATGCAAACTTCCATTACCTTTCCTTGTAGATAATAAAAGTCACAAATTGGTAGATCTCAACTCAGCTGTCCTAGTAAGGTAACCTGGTGCAGTCAGGATACCCCTGTGATGGCCTTCCATTGACTTTCATTAACTGTCACTAAGGGTCAATTCAGCAAAACCTATCTTCCCTTAGACATCAGGATCAATCATCTACCTATCATCATGGCCCACATAAGCAGATGACAGCTGCCTTCTTATTCAGGAAGTAAGACCAATAGACCAGAAAATTTCAAGATTGTGGAGATGGAGCCAAAATATGGACTGACAGTTACAAGACCAGGGCTGCTGGTAGGCTGATCATTAGGGAATCTGGCTCAGTCCAAGCTCTCTCCTAACTTCTGCATTACTTTTGGTCCTCACTATCTTTTCTGGGGAATCTGTTTCTTTTTATTTTTTAGAGTAGGATTGGGACCAATCTACTGGAATACTTTTCAAAGGAGTTTTAAACTACAAACCCATTGCCCCAAAGTAAATAGAACCCGTGAGTATTCATGTATATGACCGGAAAACTTACTAAAATATTATTTTTTGGTTTTTTGCTTTATAGATTTTCTTTATTTTTTTTTCCTGAGGAAGGAGCCAGATCTTCAGTAGGTATTAGGTGCAGGAATTTTGGTTTTCAGGCTCAAGTCAGAAGCTGATTTTTCCTTGTAAAGCTACACAAGACAATTAATTATGAGACTGTGATGTAGCATGCTTTGTAAACAGATGGGAGAAGGCATGCCTTTGAGAATTACAGGATCTCAGAGTAAGATTTAACTCTGTGCCAAAAAAGAATGTAGTATTTTGTGTATTTGAGACATAGAGGTATTAAGATTGAGCCAAATTCTGCCAGACAGTGTGGATATTAGTGACCTGACCCTGCAGCCCAAGGTGGAGGGAATGTTCAGCAAGTTAAACAAAGCACCCACAGGACATTTGTTCAACAAAATGCCATGCACTTTGTTTTCTCTAAGCTATGAACTTCTCAACAAAGAGAAGTTTGGATAATATTAGATATAATGGATGTATCAGTATCCATGATGACTTAATATTACACATATCTCCCCGTTTTCTTCTGTGCTGGCCTCCCACACTCAAGTTTGATTCTTCAAAGGGGGGCACTGTAGTGCTGACAGGTATTATGGTTTCCAGCAGGTTGACTGGGTATGTGTGTTTCCTGTAATTTGATTTTGTATGATAACATTTATATCTGTTTCCTTTCAAAGAAATGAAAATAAGCCTGCTTCATTATGTTATCACCTACGGGCCCTCTTTTGAATCATTTAGCAACTTCCTATCTGAAAAGTGTGTGACTATGGTCATTTTTAAATCTCATACAATTTTGAAGTATCATGTGATAATGTTGATAGAAACTGTAAGCAGAGATATAAATCATATGTTTTATTTCACAGGTTTTCCACACAGGCTTCATTGGGCAGTCTGGAGGATGGGAGGGAGTCAATTTGGAAAGTCTGTGACCATACCAGCTTCACTGGGATCTATGATTATGTTCATCATAGAACCTAAGACCTGGCACTATTTTTTGTTTTTTACCTAGGACCGAGCTCAATACCTTGTGATTGCCTAGCAGGTGCCTTGGCAGGTGAGCTAATCTCCAGCATCTGGTCTAGCATTTTGTATGCACTAATACAGAAACTGTTCCAGTATTGTCACAGTAAGGAGGAAATTATATTGGTAAATCCAGGAAAAGTTATTGGAATCCTAATAAATAAATTTCAATCTACCAATTCCAGTGAAACTCATGCCATGAATAAAGAGTTAAACCAGTATCTGTAGTTGTGGGGAACCAAGGAGTTCCTGGTTCCAGTCACAACAATAGCTAAGCAGAATAAAGGCCACCACCCAGTTCTGAACCAAGGTTTCATTAACTTGTGAAGAGAGACAGGTTTTAGTCCTGGATTGGGAGATTTGAAGAGGTTACTATATCAAATCAGTGTGGCCTCATAAGGAGAGTAGTTGGTAGACAGTGACAACTCTCGGAGGGATAAAAATTGACAGCCAAGTGGCTGTATGTCAAGGTTAGCCTTGGTATTAGAGCAGAATGGAGAAGGAAACAAATTTCAGGTGAAGGTAAAGAGTCAGTCAGTTTACCTGACACTCCATGTGTATCCCTAAAGCTGTGGGAGAGAAATGTCCTCCTCAGGAATACCCTTCCTCTACCGAGCCTGATAGGGTCCCATAGTGACCTCACTGGTGCCTGGCTGAACTCCAGGACCCAGGAAATCATCCCCTTCCCCTCTACATGTGACAAAAAAGAAGTGACATATTCCCCTGGAGCCCTCGAAAGAAAGATGTCCACTTTTTCTTCAGTTGGTGCTTAACTGTAGCCCTTGCAAAAAGAGAGGCTGTGGAGAAGCTAAAGTGTATAAGGCAGAGCTTGGTAAAAGTTTTGAGAGGGGATTTGGAAAGGTATTGAGTGGAGAAGGAGTGGAGGAGGCAGAAATCATCAGAACTGTGTCACTGTCCTGCTTACCACAGAGTTGGTCCCCATGAACCAAAGTAAGTGAGAAAACAAGAAACTAGCCTTCCACTGAGATGAAACATTTATTTAGTTGCTGGGATCTGCTCTAGAATGATTCTAGACTCAGCTCCAGGTAAGATGGTTGCTCATAGACGGGATTTACTTTACTGTGTGCAGTCAGCTCTGTTTCATAGTATTCTTTATCCAGTGTAAAAACCATGAGAGTTTGGTAAAGATACATGGTGTTGTTCCATTCTTTCATCCATAGGAGAAAATGTGCCACATTATTACACACCAGGGGGCCTCCGGAGTCACCCTGTAAATAGAGAGTGAGTCTGTGAACCATGGCACCACTTAACTTCTCACTTCCACTATCCCAAACCGTCTCATGCAGTACTGATTGTAAGGTCTGCTTGTGAGAGATTAGAGGGAACTACAGGCTGTTAGCTGCTGAGCTCTGACTATGGGCATTTTCACTCTTGGAGCCAGCCTTTGTCTTCATCCCCAGGTCTGGACCTCACCCCTGTAGAGTTGTGAGGACCATTCATTACAGGCCAGGGAGCCTGATGACCAGGTCCGACAATGAGCACAGATGATGAGCTCATTGGCCACGAGGGCTTCCCTCTCAGAGGACAATATTATTCCTGCACACCAAGGAAACAGTTTTCTCATGCCTGTGCCATGAGCTCAGGCAATGTGTTACAAACTGAGGCTTCCAGTGGTGTTTCCTTCTCCAGAGGCCCCTTAGTAAAATGGTAGAGGCTTTAGGTTTTAGTACCTCCCAGCTCAGGCTGCTCCCTTCTTCTCTTTTCTGGGAGAAACATAACAGCCTATGGGGTGAAGGAATCCATGATGCTTGGGTCTCCTGGTACTAGATCTGTCCCAAACACTCTTTCCGATAAAGCCAATTGTGACAGATGCCTCATCTTACCTTAAGCAAAGTATTTTTAATCTTTGGGTCTCCCACACAAATCTCAGTAGCACGATCATAATACTTTGGGAAGAGTTCCTCACACTTCTCGTCCTTCAGCACTATCATCTCCACTTCCTGCAGTGTTTCTGGGTATGTTCCCTCTGGAGTAAAAGTTCCCCATCCAGCCACCTGGCACTGGGTACCTGGATTCACCTCTGTCCTGCCCTTGGGCAGCCTGAGGAGCTGCACAGCTTTAGTCAGCTTGGCCTTTTTCTCCAGCTGGTGGAAAATAAGTGAGGAAGTCCAGTTCAGTGTATGCTCCTGGGTATGCACAGTGTGATGGACATGATGGCAAAGAGGGCAGGGGCAGGGTGCCAGTGGGAGTGGCAACCATTCTTGAGGAGAGCAAGAGCCACAAGGACATATGCCTTACCTTCAGCAGCATGATGTCATTGATGCGTTTTTTTATGATTTTAGTCTTCTTGGGGAAACGCGTTTTGTACACGGAAGACCTGCTGGGTGTCCTCTTGTCCCGTGATGTTGTGGGCCCAGAAGGTGACCTCTATTGGGCTGTACACAGAACTAAGTAGATTGGTGGATGGAGAGCTACAAAAGACACTACCCAGGATCTGTAAATGGAGGCCACAACTGAAATAGGGTATAGCTGTAGAGGACAGAGGGCTACCCGGCTGAATGACATTCCCTCCTTCTTAGTACTGAGGGAGGGCACCTTGGGTACCAGAGGTTCTCAGTGGTCAGTGCCTCCAGGAAAGGATATGAAACTGTTTTACGTTGCTTGGTTATGCCAAATGTGCTCCTGGGTCTACATGTAATCAGGTTTGATTGCTCTGGTTTTCCTTATATCAGGAATTCTTTGGTGCCAACTTGCTTCGCTGCCCTTGGGATATGATGACCCTTTCTCACTCTCACCAGTCCTCCTCATGGTTATGTCCATGAGCTCATCGAGCTCCTCAGAAAAAAGGCACTGAGAAGTGTTTCCTATAACTGTGGACCCTTTTTCCTTTCTCACCCCTGTAAACAGTGAGCAGCTGTCAGCACAAAGTCCTCTTGAATCAGGAAGCCACCACAAATTTTCCTAGATTTCTCACGCCTGATCCTAAGGTAAGCTATGTAGGGGCGGGAGTGGGGTTTGGCTTCATGTCCCCCGATGATCTTTCCTGAAAACAACAAGAAGACTGGGTGCAGCCACTGAATCCTTGAACAAGTATCTTACAATCTCTGAACAGTTGGGCATTTGGGTGCCTGCAGTTTCTTGACATGGACAGGAACCTAGAGGAAGAGGCATGAACTTGTTTTCCAAAGTGCAGTAAATTGAGTCTTGTTCTACAAATCCTTTTCCTCTGTTTGATTGGAGATGACTATATGTATCAGGGGAAAATAAAACCTCTGAGGCTTTTCATCATTCCTCTGCTAACTTATTACTTCCCTTGAGGAAATAAAACCCTTCTGAGTCCTGTGATGTCTAAGATGATGATGCTTCCTCCTGGCAGGCTCTAGGTGTACTGTAGATGTGGTCTTAACCTCTTTCTTAAGGCCTGACATGTAGAGGGTGTCTCAGATCTGTTCCCTGGCAGCATGAAGGAACAGCTGCAGTTAGTGTCTGGTTAGTGGAGCAGTACAGATGGAATTCTGGAAAGCAGAGAAGTGTGAGTCTGCCTATGTGGCTCCTACTGAAAAACAGAGAAGCCCCTGAAACTCAGAGGAGGAAAGCGGAGCTAGAGAATGTTAGTAGGAGTGAGGAGAGGCATCAACAGAGATTCCATCCATTCTGGGGAGTTCTGGGCATCTCTGCTAGGCAGTTGATGAATGCAAAGCCTTTCCCCTCCCCTGACCGGGATGACGGGCCTATTCTGCCCTATTTAGGATTACTTGATATTTTCTTCTTTTTACATGTCACCTGCATGAACTTTGAAGAAAGCCTCTCTAGATGTGCAAGCTGAGTCTTACTGAGGGTATATTATCCACTGGCTCTCTTGAAAACAAACTCTGGTTGCTTATGCAGTGTCCTACCTGATTCCCTCTGGTGGGAATGGAGTTCAGCTTCAGAGCAATGCTGGCAGACAGAAGGCTCTGGGGGTGTTGCACAGGGACAGGAGGTTCATATGCTCTGTGCAATAAGAGTCGACCTCTGGAGGGTGGAGATGGTCACTCACCTGCCTCTGCTCTGGGGAGCAGAAAGAAGGCCAACAGGAGCAGGAGCAGATTCATCTTCCCAAGAAGCAAGAAGCGTCTCCAAGTCAGAGCTTCTGAAGATTTGTCCATGTTGTCTTTTAGCCCCCAGCAGAGGAAAGGTGAGGAGTTGGCTCAGTGACCTCATGTTTGTCACTGGTTTTGTGGTACTTTACCCTGAGAGGCTTTCTAAAACAACGCACTACGGCCATTGCCTCCTCTCATCATGACACCTTTTGAGTGTGTGAGACCCGTATAATGACCACAGCTGATGAGTCAGATGAAATCATGTGTTCCTGTCCTCACCAGAACCCAGATGTGCAAGGTGGGTCTGTAGGATGTGGTATTGGCCAGGACATTCTCATAAACATGGGTTCCCAGTGACAGAATTATCAATGCCAGGTTTCATCAGGTTAGTTTTAGAAGCGTTTGAGTATTAGGACCATCTCTTGTGCTAGGAGCAAGCAAGCTGGAGAGTGAGCTGATCATCTGATGAAAGAGACAGAAACCCAGGAACCAAACTTCAGGAAGGCCACAGTGGAGCAATGTACTTAGGAATAACAAAGCTTGGCCAGCATCCGCTCAATCTATCTGGTGACTCTGACATCATCATAGCCTCCTTCTAACTGAATCCTAAACATCTCTTATTTAATTATAAACATGGAGTTTGATGGAGTAGGACTCTCTTCTCAATATTTTTAAACAACATGTCTGCACTTGGTATTTTTGGTCTAAATTAGCAAATTGCTGTGGGTCCTTGCAATTCAATCTATGTCTTGACAAAGGTTACTCCCATAGCTTTGGTTGTGCTGTTGTGGATTCCAGCAGAATCTCCTAAACTAAATATGGTGGTTTTTGGGGGTGTATATCAGGATAGTGATCCCTTGATTTTAGGGCTCTTTTTCTTTTCTCTTCTTCCCCTCATATAGGAATTGAGAGTTGCCTTGCTCCACGAAATCCATCCGCCGTAGTGTTTCTGTTTTGAAGCCTGCCTGCCTGAATCCACTGCAACCCTGTTGCTCAAGGGCCAATGTAGGTCTGAACAATTTGATTTGATGATTTAAGCTTCCTGTTTATGTTTTACATGTTTTTCTATTAGCAGTATTACACTTGAGAAGAAAACATTCCGGTCTATCTTCCTTTTCAATAGAGGACCATCAACATTTATCAAAGCTGAGCTTGTTTTTAACTGAACTTTCCAAGTAGTAAATAATTAAAAGGCGAAATTTTTTTCTGACTGTAATTATAAAGCATATTCATTAAGAGAATTCAGAGAGCTGGAAGGAAAAATAGCATGCATTTTTCTATCTCCCCCAGACAATTGAAAATTTTATTATACATATTTGTGTTACATAATCATTATACTTATTGTGGGAATTTTGTATGTAATGCATCTTATTTCCTCTTGTCCTCTTCTTGTCTCTTCTCTTTCCCCCCTTACAAATTTTAGTCCTCTTCTTCTCTGAAAAAATTCTGTCACTGTTTCTTGTTATGTATCTTTTATTTGGCTCTTGAATTTATTTATACTTTAGGTTTCTTATAAAAGAGAAACCATGTGATAATGAATGTTGTGTTGATCGTTTATTTTACTTAACATTCTGGTCCTAAGTACAACCATTTTCTACAAATGACTCATGTTTGTCCTGCTTTTAGAAGAATAGTACTCCATTGTGTACAATGCCACATTTGTAAAAGTGCATGTATTGTTGGATAGACAAACAGTGTGATTCTAAGTTATAGCTGCTACGAATTGTGCTACTATGAACATGGACATGAGTATATTACTGTAATAACATTTCTCACTGGTTTAGGAAGATAGGGAAACTACTGTGTTTAGAAGGGAGATGACTGAGCTGAATAGTTTACTTTTAGTTTTCTGAGCAATCACTGTACTGATTTCCATAGTCTTATATAAAACCAATTAAACTTATGCGGTGAGCATATTAACTCTGGGCAATGCTATATATACACTACAATTTACTTCCTATTGTACTCAGTCTTAATTAATCTTACAATTTAAACCTTTTAACCACATTTAAAATATCCAATTACTCAGTATTACCTTAATAATTGTTCCATAGTGTTATTAAAAAATTTAATATGCAATAAATTTCTAAAGTTGTAAACTAAAAAATCAACATAAAGTGTAAATTAGCTCTTCCAGATCTTTGCTCAGTGGCATAAACAATTAAAATTGCCTGATTTTCTTCACTCATTAATTCTTAGCTTTAACGTTTTGAAGTATGACCTAACACATTTTTCATGTAACGTATGCAATGAAAAATTTAACAAGGGATGATGCTAAACACATTTATGACTCATTTTTAAAATCGAGGGGAAGTTAACATGTTACATGTGTAACTACTTTCAAGAATTCAATTCAGTAGAATTTATGGCATTCAAAATGTGCATTTGGATTGTCAAAATATTTCTAGCACCTCAAAATGTTGTATAAATATTAAATGATTGCTCCCCTTTAACATTTTTCTCATCATCCTGCTCACTGCACTGCTAATCTTCTTTCTCTATGCACTTCTCTATTTTGAATATTGCATGGTTGGATCATGTTTCTAAAATCGTTCTTTAAATCTTTGGAAAGTTTAAACTATTTACATTTAAAAGGATTACTTATAATGAAGGGTTTTTTATGACATTGTGCTACTTGTTTTTTATGTCATGTGTTTTTCACTCATCAGTGTTCTCCAAACTGCCTTGGCATTTCCTATAGGCTGGCACATTTAAAAATTTGGGATATATTCTTTTTTTAGTTTGATTGTTACTGGTGGTACTTGAGGTTGAACTCAGGATCTTTAGAGTCAGCTACATCCTACCTTTCTCTGTAGCTTTTATTTTGAGACAAGACTTCATTAAATTGCTTTGGTTAGATCTTAGGTTTCTCCTGCAGCAGCCTTCCAGAGTCTTGGGACTGCAAGCATCTACCACCACCCCTCACTTAATGCCGAGTGATGAAGGATAGATTCTCTAGATGTAGAATCCTTGGTTGACAGGTTTCTTTTTCTTTTTTCTTGGTACTGAGGATTGAATTTACACCCTGCACTTGCCAGGCAGGCACTGTGCCACTAAGCTATATATCCTGCACTACAGGACTTTCTTTCTGCACTGTAAGGAGATGGTCCCAGTGCCTTTGGCCCTTAAGGTTTCTGATGTGAAATCAAATGTTAGTCTCATTGAGAATCATTTTCTGGAATGAGTCACTTCTTTTTTGCTGTTTGGAAGGTTTTCTCTTTGTGTTGTAACAGCTTCCTTGTAGTAAGTGCCCGTTTGAGTTTTGAGTTTAACCTGCTTAGAAATTTTGAGCTTATTGGGTTTGTGTATTCTTATACTTCATCATATTTGGGAAGTTTGGGGCCATCGTTTATTGGAAATGTTTTTGATTTTGAAATTATCTTTCTTTCTTAAGTATCTTGAACTTCCATTGTCTCTCTCTTTATATATATCTGATATATATAATAAGATAAAAATATATATGATTTATATGATATTGAATATGTCCTATAGGACCCTTAGGCTTTGTTCATATTTCTTTCATTTCTCACACTGGGTTATTTCATTTTTATGAAAAATTCACTAGTTCTTTTCTTGTCTTTGTTCAGCTAGTTGGACTTTGTTAGTGAACTTTTCATTTCAACTATCATGCTTTTAAGCTCCAGAAATAAATATTTTTTGTTTTTATGAGTATTCTTTACTTTTTTATACATCTTGTCTGGTTTCATTGAGTTATTTGTGAGTTCACTTCTGTGTTTTGAGCGTTTTAAAGTGGGCGGATTTAAAATGTTTTGTTAGTCTGTCCAAAGCCTAAGATGTTCAAAATT